TCCGTTCAAGATAACCGTCCGTACGCGCGATTTTTGTAATACATTGCATATATGGGCAAAAACATGCCTATGAAAAGTCCATTGGGATGAATAGGGATTGCCAATTTTTTTTTCATATTTAGATAGAGTATGAGTCGGAGGTATGATTTCATATCTCATTTGGCCATTAAGTACATCTTGACGGCATCATAATGGCCTTGGAAGTCAAAAATACAAAATTGCATATTATGACGTCATTGTATTTATGGAAAATGTAGTGTATTTCTCTCAATATTCATCGATTCTCTTTGAAATGTCGATATGTTGTAGATAAGGCAATTCTCTACAAGATCACTTTTCACTAAGTTTCATTTTAATGAGGTCATCATAGTACAAAATTCAATTAAAGGCCACATGTCAGAATTTTCGTCATTTGCGTGTTATGTCTATGGAAGGTGAATTTCGTTCACATCATGAATCTACATGGCATTCATCTATGAGCACTATCTATCTTATGTGTGCTCTGTTTTCTCCCAAATTGGGGTATGTTATAGCTGAGACCATGGGCTATAAAAACGGTGTACTTTGTTTTTCGATCAGATGTTGGGATCATATCGAAATTTTCAATCGAAAGTTGAAATTGCAAATTTTGAAGGAATCATTAGGTGATGCGTACAAAGTATACGTATCATTAGGTGATACGTAACGAAGTCAACGTATCACCTTTTGATTTCGTCAAGATTTTTATTTATTTTTTTTTTTATTTATTATTCTTCCTCGAATTTGTTCGCAGGATATCTCAAGACTCAATAAAGCCATTGTTATGATCTTTCACTGATGATAGATCTTAGTCTAACTTAGAACTGCGTGACTTTTCAAAGACTCAAAGTCATCGTGACGTCATCCAGGCGCCATTTTGTAAAATCAACTTATGATCATATCTTCATAACGGAAAGTAATTTTACATTCATATTTATCAAGATTAAGATCAATATCCGTCGGATCAATATGAGGTCAATAAATGCGCGCAAAATGCGCGTACGCGTAGGCGCGCGCGTCAATGCGCGCGTAAAATTTTAAATTGCTCAAAATCGTCTTAAATTTTTTTTGCATACGTTTCAGGCCATTTTAAGCATTTCATAAAAAATCACGCAAAACACGCATTTTTGCACGTTTTCGTTCGTCACGGCCGAACGAAAAATAATTTCTCCGCAAAAGCTCTTGACCGAATATTCCTCATATTTTTCCGGAAAATTTGATACCATGTTTAGCTCTTTATCACTATTAAAAACGGAATGAGCGTCCGTTCAAGATAACCGTCCGTACGCGCGATTTTTGTAATACATTGCATATATGGGCAAAAACATGCCTATGAAAAGTCCATTGGGATGAATAGGGATTGCCAATTTTTTTTTCATATTTAGATAGAGTATGAGTCGGAGGTATGATTTCATATCTCATTTGGCCATTAAGTACATCTTGACGGCATCATAATGGCCTTGGAAGTCAAAAATACAAAATTGCATATTATGACGTCATTGTATTTATGGAAAATGTAGTGTATTTCTCTCAATATTCATCGATTCTCTTTGAAATGTCGATATGTTGTAGATAAGGCAATTCTCTACAAGATCACTTTTCACTAAGTTTCATTTTAATGAGGTCATCATAGTACAAAATTCAATTAAAGGCCACATGTCAGAATTTTCGTCATTTGCGTGTTATGTCTATGGAAGGTGAATTTCGTTCACATCATGAATCTACATGGCATTCATCTATGAGCACTATCTATCTTATGTGTGCTCTGTTTTCTCCCAAATTGGGGTATGTTATAGCTGAGACCATGGGCTATAAAAACGGTGTACTTTGTTTTTTCGATCAGATGTTGGGATCATATCGAAATTTTCAATCGAAAGTTGAAATTGCAAATTTTGAAGGAATCATTAGGTGATGCGTACAAAGTATACGTATCATTAGGTGATACGTAACGAAGTCAACGTATCACCTTTTGATTTCGTCAAGATTTTTATTTTTTTTTTTTTTATTTATTATTCTTCCTCGAATTTGTTCGCAGGATATCTCAAGACTCAATAAAGCCATTGTTATGAATCTTTCACTGATGATAGATCTTAGTCTAACTTAGAACTGCGTGACTTTTCAAAGACTCAAAGTCATCGTGACGTCATCCAGGCGCCATTTTGTAAAATCAACTTATGATCATATCTTCATAACGGAAAGTAATTTTACATTCATATTTATCAAGATTAAGATCAATATCCGTCGGATCAATATGAGGTCAATAAATGCGCGCAAAAATGCGCGTACGCGTAGGCGCGCGCGTCAATGCGCGCGTAAATTTTAAATTGCTCAAAATCGTCTTAAATTTTTTTTGCATACGTTTCAGGCCATTTTAAGCATTTCATAAAAAATCACGCAAAACACGCATTTTTGCACGTTTTCGTTCGTCACGGCCGAACGAAAAATAATTTCTCCGCAAAAGCTCTTGACCGAATATTCCTCATATTTTTCCGGAAAATTTGATACCATGTTTAGCTCTTTATCACTATTAAAAACGGAATGAGCGTCCGTTCAAGATAACCGTCCGTACGCGCGATTTTTGTAATACATTGCATATATGGGCAAAAACATGCCTATGAAAAGTCCATTGGGATGAATAGGGATTGCCAATTTTTTTTTCATATTTAGATAGAGTATGAGTCGGAGGTATGATTTCATATCTCATTTGGCCATTAAGTACATCTTGACGGCATCATAATGGCCTTGGAAGTCAAAAATACAAAATTGCATATTATGACGTCATTGTATTTATGGAAAATGTAGTGTATTTCTCTCAATATTCATCGATTCTCTTTGAAATGTCGATATGTTGTAGATAAGGCAATTCTCTACAAGATCACTTTTCACTAAGTTTCATTTTAATGAGGTCATCATAGTACAAAATTCAATTAAAGGCCACATGTCAGAATTTTCGTCATTTGCGTGTTATGTCTATGGAAGGTGAATTTCGTTCACATCATGAATCTACATGGCATTCATCTATGAGCACTATCTATCTTATGTGTGCTCTGTTTTCTCCCAAATTGGGGTATGTTATAGCTGAGACCATGGGCTATAAAAACGGTGTACTTTTGTTTTCGATCAGATGTTGGGATCATATCGAAATTTTCAATCGAAAGTTGAAATTGCAAATTTTGAAGGAATCATTAGGTGATGCGTACAAAGTATACGTATCATAGGTGATACGTAACGAAGTCACGTATCACCTTTTGATTTCGTCAAGATTTTTATTTATTTTTTTTTTATTTATTATTCTTCCTCGAATTTGTTCGCAGGATATCTCAAGACTCAATAAAGCCATTGTTATGAATCTTTCACTGATGATAGATCTTAGTCTAACTTAGAACTGCGTGACTTTTCAAAGACTCAAAGTCATCGTGACGTCATCCAGGCGCCATTTTGTAAAATCAACTTATGATCATATCTTCATAACGGAAAGTATTTTACATTCATATTTATATCAAGATTAAGATCAATATCCGTCGGATCAATATGAGGTCAATAAATGCGCGCAAAAATGCGCGTACGCGTAGGCGCGCGCGTCAATGCGCGCGTAAAATTTTAAATTGCTCAAAATCGTCTTAAATTTTTTTTGCATACGTTTCAGGCCATTTTAAGCATTTCATAAAAAATCACGCAAAACACGCATTTTTGCACGTTTTCGTTCGTCACGGCCGAACGAAAAATAATTTCTCCGCAAAAGCTCTTGACCGAATATTCCTCATATTTTTCCGGAAAATTTGATACCATGTTTAGCTCTTTATCACTATTAAAAACGGAATGAGCGTCCGTTCAAGATAACCGTCCGTACGCGCGATTTTTGTAATACATTGCATATATGGGCAAAAACATGCCTATGAAAGTCCATTGGGATGAATAGGGATTGCCAATTTTTTTTCATATTTAGATAGAGTATGAGTCGGAGGTATGATTTCATATCTCATTTGGCCATTAAGTACATCTTGACGGCATCATAATGGCCTTGGAAGTCAAAAATACAAAATTGCATATTATAATGACGTCATTGTATTTATGGAAAATGTAGTGTATTTCTCTCAATATTCATCGATTCTCTTTGAAATGTCGATATGTTGTAGATAAGGCAATTCTCTACAAGATCACTTTCACTAAGTTTCATTTTAATGAGGTCATCATAGTACAAATTCAATTAAAGCCACATGTCAGAATTTTTCGTCATTTGCGTGTT